ACTATATTCCGTTCAATATCATAATCGACCATCTACCTATTCGCTATTGTATGAAAAAGATGTAGACATTACACAACCAACATCTGCTTCGAATGATACAACATTCACCGATTTATCATATTCTTCTGTCTCACGAAATAGAAACAATAATAAAAATACAATGTCACATGATGATAATCTAGAAAATTGACATTTCTATAGTAAAGTTACTCTTTATCTATACTATTTACCTTGTTTATGATCTTTCACCAGATCTTGAGCACGTAACAGAGTGAATCTAAGAATTGTAAAAAAAAACTAAAATGTTTCATTGCGTTATAATGTGTACGTACTTTTGATTCAATAGTCTATCGATATCTGCTAATATCTGTTGTACACATTGTTTATCAACAAGTTGTGAAAGAAATTGTAGACGATCTTCGTTATGAGAATAAATGCACGTCCACTGTTCTAAAGTTTAAAAACTACTGTTAATATGCTTGGAAAATATTTATTTTTCTCATATTATGAACAACTTCCGTACTAACTAATCATCAGAATTGATGTATCTATCCTGTCATTCATTGTTCTTTTCTCACTGTTTTTTGAAATCTATTTTGTTCAAGTGATTTTCACTGTAAAAGATAATATTTTTTTAATTATTTTCATTCTTGATATCTTGTGCCAATTAGCATAAACAAGAAATTGGTACTATGAATAATTTGATTAATAAATTATTGAACTCATAACTTTCTTTTGCTCAGGTATACAATCTATTCATGAGCGAAAATTTTCATACATTACGAATGAAGAAATTTTATGTTCAGTGTTAGGCATACATAGTATCAAAAAATTATCATTGTATTACATGCTTGACACAACTAAAGCAAGATCTAGAAAATTTTTCTAATAAGATAAAAGGTAAGGTGTGAGATGTACGAGTCACTTGGAAAAGGTTGAGATAAGAATGAAAAAGAAAGAGGTAAATGAATTTTGTTTGATATTACTCATGTGTTTAAATAATAGAACGAACTCTCAGATCGAACAAACACATAGTATTATTCTGAAAAGAAAACGAAAATGAGTCAACATCTTTACAATAGCTTTCTCGATGCAATTATTTGTATAGGTTTCGATTCTTCGACTTTACTTGCTTCAAATGATCTCTCAATATTTGACCGTGATTTGAAATCAAGTGTTCTAGCTGTTATCACATCGGACACAGCTCATTATCCAAAATCGAATAACACTTACGATTCTACATATCCTCCTTATCCGCGAACAAATTCAAATTCAACAAATAAATCCAATGTATCAAGTGGCCGCTCCACACCCTTGAAGCTATCATCTTCAGGATCAAAATACTCTCACCGTGATGTTATAGAACCCGAGGTAATCGAAAATGTACCATTGTTCTGCTTTCCGGATGGTATGAAAGCGAAACACCAGTGTGAACGAGACAAAGTGCATAGTTTTGTTTTAACAGCGGCTGAAGGAAAACGATCATATGCACTAGCATTAATATTCTATCGGTCCTGTTCAGTGAAGATGAATGTTGATGGTACAGGTGAGATTATTGAACCAATCATTCCACATGAAAAAGAGGTAGAATTAACGGGAAGACAAAGAACGGTAACTGAATCATTGTCTTCTCTGAGTCAACCAAAATCTAAAATACCCGTTCCAATTGGTATGACACCGCAAGATCTATTTGATAAGAAGCAGTACACAAGTCGTGTTGCACGCATGAAGGATCAGCATCGATCTGAGACGAATCTAAATCAACCTCCAACTACTAAAACGAAGAAAATGCCACTTGCATTCGAAAATTCGACCACCAGTGCAGCAGGTTCAGTAGCTACAACGAGACGGGGCAGTTATTCAGAAAACCAACATCACTACAGCACATCAACAATATCAAGTTTAGCCAAACGGTAGGTAAAACAAAAGAAAACTTAGTTAAAAGACGTTCTCTAATATGTTCTTAAAGGATACCGTCAGCATCATCAATTCCTACACTCTCAAGTATCACGCAACCAAGGGGAATGACTCGTCATGCTTCATTATCAGAGATGCCCATAGCACCGGATAAAACTGATATATTTATGCCATATGCAATTGTTTTTATATCTCAACAACCTTATTGGGCAGCTATCCATCAGTGCATATCAATGTTGTACGACGAAATCAAACAAAAACAAGCTCAAACAAACAGTAAAGAATTCAAACATATTGTTCAATATTACGCTCATCGATTGTGCAACACTCCCACACCACCACCCATTTCAAATCGCATTTCTCTATCATTAACTATGTCTACTACTCAGTATCTTCAATTAACATTGGATCCATCGTCCGCCTATGATAGACCTGTTTTGGATTTGGATCTGTCAACATTGTTGACAACGTTGAATATTGGCAATATTTCTATCATTCTTGCTGCTCTAATCACTCAACAACCTCTGGTGTTTTTCAGTCAATCGTACGCACAATTAGTGACAAATCTAGAGTGTTTACTCTACTGTTTTTATCCATTAAAATGGCTTCAAGTCTACGTTCCGCTGCTTCCATCGAGTTTACTCGAGCTTTATTTTGATCAAGGACCCCCTGGATGTTACATCATGGGCTGTCATAGTAAACATCAGCATCTCATTGACAAATTGAAAACATGCATAACGTGTAATCTAGACACTGATCGAATTCTCATACCAGACACTCTCAAATTTCGCCCGATACCATCACAGAAATTGACCAGTTTTGTTGAACAAATGACACAGATTTCTGACGAGATTAAACAAAGAACAGTCGGCACTCTTCAATCACCAATGAAAATGAGAATGGATGATTTGAGAGAATATGAACGATTGTTGAGAACACGGAATAATGAGATGATCTCAACGACATTTTTAGAACTCATGGTCGACATTTTTGGAGACACTCTTAGCTGCATTCGAATTGCAGTAAAAGAGAAATCACCAAAAGCAAGTCCCAATAGTACCATGTTGAAGGAAAAAAACAAACAAGGAGAATCAGCACGAATGGCTACAGAACCATCTGAAGTGTTTCTGAAAAGTCAATATCTGAAAACCAAGAATGAGAGCGAAGTTGAATTTTACACATTATTAGTAGAAAGTGTTGCATTTCACACATTTATCGAAGAACAATACCAGACTTTAGTCACCAATCGTGGATCGAACATTTTTCGTGACTTATGGGAATCTAGACGAGAAATGTTAGAAGATCGATTTTTTGACATGAATAAAGATGAAGATGTGAGTAGAGTAAGTCTAGAAGTATTTTTCAATAAAGATATTTTGGATTTTTCTTTTAGAATTCCCTTCAACCTCGTCAATCAACACCCTCGGTTATCATTCATTTACCATTACCAGATTGGACATCAGCAAATCAATCGTATTACATCGATTCCTGCATCGATCACTTCACCAGAGAGGTGGAAGCGGCGAAGCATGAAATGCCCCAAGTATTACCAAACTACTATTATCTACGTGGATGTTGTTTGATTGCACGCAGTCGTCCACTAGAAGGTTTACAAGACTTCTATTCCATCACAAATCCTGAATTGTTTCCGCGTAGTTATATCGAATCAGACGTTATAACGCGTTTATCACAAGAAAATTTGAAAATATTTTATGAAGAAGAATTTTATACAAAATGTGAACAATGGAAAAAAGTGAAACCTCCTCTTGATCAATTTTCAACCGTTGAATTGAGCGACTATCAACTACTAGATGAAGAAGAACGAAATGATTGGTGCGTAACAGATGAATTCGTTACATGTGCGCAATTTAGTGACAGAATACAGCGCTTAGGAATAGTCATTGACCAAGAGACAACCACAAGATTATTTAATGCTTTACATCATTGGACTGAAGTAAAACGAAAGACGATATCGAAAAAAGAAAGAAAAAAGGAAACATTAACAAAAACAAGCTCAGTAGATATACCATCGATCACGATAAAGAAATGGGCATCTCATTCAGCATTGCCATCAGCAGAAATAACTATGAGTGATGAACAACCAATGAGACTTCCAGGAACATTATTTGAATCCTTTTTGGACACTTGGCAGAAAAAACAAGAGGAAAGGGAACGAATGCGAAGATGTTTACCAAACGAGGAACACAATCCAGAAATGATATTAAAGGTAATTTGTTTAAAGAAATAAAATAAAATTCTATGACTCATGATATACTTAAACAAACAGATTTTTTAGAATTATTTTACTTCGTAGGTTTCGTCTCCTGGCATGAAAACACCTCTTGGTGTCGGCTACATTATACTAACTCAAAAACGTTTATATTTTCTTGCTGAAACTCGACATCAATGTGTTTTATTAACGGATATTGAACATATTATTACCACTGAAAAATTTCAACATTCTAGTGCCTTTTCATCGAATAAACCCGGTTTAAAAATAATGGTTTGGCAACATGTAATCTCAAAAGATGATACATTGACTGCATCTGCACCTAACTTGAAAGAACAAACACTGAAATTAATAATGAAAGAGGACAGAGATTTATGGTTTACATTGATTAATGAATTGTGGAGCGGTTTAACAATTGCAAGAGAACAACTAGATCATCTGATCAAACAAAAAGCATCGACAAATATTCTATTAATGGATGCATTGTCAGCTATCACATATGACAATTCAAAACAACATAAAAAATATTCTCATTATAATCAGGTAAACTAATCATCTCTGAACTACTATATTGCATTATCTTTCAAGTTGATCAGATATATCTGAACATTCTTGTTTATTTCAGGCAACAAACAACTCTGATATCTTGAGATTAGCGTGTGTTGAATTATGTGTGTACACATCGATGAAAGAAGGTGGTTACAGATGTATGACGCAAGAGACACGCAATGCTCTGACATATCGTATTCAACCATCATTACGTGAAAAGGAAAAACAATCGATTGATGCGTTAATCTTTATCGATGATCAGGAGCATCCATCTTTATGGTGTGCTTATGGAACAAAGTTGAAGGTTTACGATGCTCAAACATGGTTCTGTGAAAAAATCAGATATTCGTTTCTATCCAATATCACATGTTTATGTTTGGATGTTATTAAAATGACGTTATGGATTGGATGTTTAAACGGAGAACTACTCATTGCTGATATTCTAACACGAACGGTTCTTACTGAACTTACACCCTTACCGGCTACATGTCAGTCGATGAGTTATGACATTGTAGCTAATCAAATGATAACAGGATGTAATACTGGACAAATTATTATATGGAATACGAATACATGGAAACGAGTAATTCAATTTGATGTTCGACAAGTATGCAGCGAATTTATAGAAGATAATAGTCAACAGAACTACAAAAGTCAAGCAACTCTAACGCTAAAAACGCCAGCAGCAACGAATAGAAAATCGACCTTCAATGTTCAAAAAGGAGCAACTAAGAACGCATCGAAATTCGATACAGGTATGAGCAAAACAAAAATATATATTCATCGATGAAACCACAAGTGTTTGAGGTTGTATAAAATATTATCTACAGGGTGTTACATAACCTTTTTCTCCCCCCCCCTACACGACCTAAAGGACAGATAATATCAGAAAGTATTTATACCAGGTTAAAGCCCATCAAAAACTAGATTTATGAGTGTAATTGATATTCCGTATGATGCTTATTGGCTGTAGAATTATG